TAAACTTCACTTATAGATAATTTTAAATATTAATATGGTAGAAATAAATTAGAGTAGTAAGGGGAGGTCCAGCGGGTGTGTCCTTTTTTGTCTTCTGGGCTGCTAGCTGTTGTCCAGCAGGGAGCTGGCCAACCGGTTCGGGTGATTATGAAGCCTCTGCATGTAACGTGCTCTGCTTCTTTGTATCTCGTCCTTGACCCAAGGGAAATTGAGAACCTCGTGGATGGTGCGATTGTCATGATAGACGTGGGCCCCAGTGGCGATTCGAAGGGCTCTATTTTTTCGCGGTCTCGGTCAAAAAGGGACTGACTTCTTAATCCTAAATCTGATCCAAAGAACCTCGGCCATAAGTTGTGTTTAGATTAGAGGCTTAAGATGAAAATGTCGCATCTTATTATGAAATTCGATTAAGCTGATCGATGCAATTTGGTGGGTACTTGAAACGCAAAAGGCGTAATTTATTGGGCTTCGGAGGGAAGCTGATATTTACTTTTGATTTTGATTCGTTTATGGGGAACCGAGATCGTACCTCAGAGCCAAAGACAAAGCGGAAAGCAAATGCAGAGTTTGAAAATATTGTTTATAAAATTCATAAGTGGAAAACCATAAGTGGCCTGGATTTAAGGGTTGGATAATTGAGCCAAAGACAAAGCCAAAGGCAAATGCAGAGATTGAAAATATTTTTTATAAAAGCCATAAGTGGCCTGTATTTACGGGTTGGATAACTTTTACGTGTTCTATTGGGATCTAGGACTGTCGCATCTGAGATGTCTAGAATGTGTTCCCACTAGCCAGTTATGACTTCGACAACCGTGCTAATTTGAATCCTCTCAAATCAAACATCCTCAGAAGTTTGGATGTTATTTTATGTGAGATAAAACGCGAAAGTTGGCGGGCGTCAGTTTGAGACGGAAGTCCAACTGAGTTGTTTCTTATTATTTATGGCTTGTTTAAATCGAAGCTTGTATGAGGCTATGGGAATTTCAGTTTCCTCCATTTCGGAGCGGCATATACTGGCTATATCGCAGTCTCGTGAAGATATGATCTACAGGCTGAGACAGTTTTTAATTTGCTTGTGATCGATCGAATTGATTTTATGGCCGCTTGGCTGTCCCTGAAAATCTTTACTTTACCGTTGGTGATGCCTGATGCTTTGAGGTATTGTAGTGCTTTCTTAATTGGCATCACCTCATCTTGGAAGACGGTGCAGTGATCAGAAAGTCTAAAGGTGACCTTGATGCCCATATGTTCGGAATATACTCTTCTTCCTTCTTTGTTTTTAATTTTGAGCCGTTGAAACAATTGTATTATTTTCTAGGAATCGGTCACGCGCTTCTTTAAAGACTGCTAGGTTTGTTTGAAAGTATTTCGACCTTTGTTTTTTGCTCGGTTCATCCTTCTTATCATTCTAAATGCACCTAGCTATCTCTTCCCCAATTTCTCGCAGGGCCTCTCAGAGCTCTTGAATGTTAGCCTCCTCAAGGGTTGGTTCGATTATTATCTTTGGAAAAATGTTCTCCTTTTCCATCTTTCCGTTCTTCGATCCTGAACGTTGGGAGTGTTTTATTTGCTGCTAGCGTACGAGAAGCTGTACTGCACTTTCACAGAAAGAATAAAAAACTGAACCCATGCACGGTCAAAGAAACTGAACCTTTTCATGGTTATACATGAATATTGCATAGGTGGTAAATTAATATAGATAAAGCACAAAATAAAAATGGTAAATTAAAATTTTTTAAGGGTGGATTGAGTCACAATATTTTTTTTTTTTTAATAGCAATTTTTGCTCAAGCTGTTGTTGGTTTTAAAAACAACGTTAAAAAAAATCGACTGAAAGGGCGGGACTAATAGAGCGGGTCGAAAATGAATAAATGCATCGCCAAGCTTGGTTAGAGCCGCCAGAATGGTTAAGGCCTGCAATACCCGAAAATTTTAATGATGATTTCTCCTCAGCATTTCGCTTTCAGCATTTTTACATTCATGATGAAAGTCGCCATTAGATGGTATTCGTTAACCATCCGTTAAGGTTTATTAACTCATAATTGTCGTTTTCTAGGGGTAGACTTGGTTGATAATTCGGTCACGACAATATACTTGTCTATAAGGTTCATTCGCCCATTTTCAAGTTATGAATGAGTCGTGTTTTACGAACAAGATAGAGGCGGACGGCGGCAGGTTCTGCATAAGGACTTTGAAACTGCTAACGTAACAGGACAAAAACTTGTTTATCACAGCATCATAAATTGACATCAGATCCCGCTTGGGAACGAGCTTGGGTTAAGGCTTTGTGGGCTTTGTAGTCCTCCACATTTTTATCCATGGACGCAAACAGCTGTACAAGAAGCGAAAGGTATTCCAATTGTCATTGCTCGCATTATATACACCTCGATCGCTTTTCGTTCGGTTGTTGATCGTCGTTGGTACAACATCTCTGCTAAATCTCCACAGACCGCTATCTTGCCGACTCTGACTACCATCAAAACGTCATTCAGTGGATTCAGTGGAAGATCTACAAAATTTTGTCTAAGAAATCGTCTTTGCCGATAAAAATTGGAATGTATAAAATATGGTTGTGGTAAACATCCATATTTTATAACAGCTTGATGGGGTAGCCTTTATTTAGTATACTGACAATTTGGTCCAAAATGTTCACTCGTGGATCTGGTATTTTATTGGTATGACACAAAAATATTCTTTTGCTTGTAATATGTAATAATTTGTTCTTTCTCTTCGAAAGTTAGCTTTAAGAATACATACTCACAATGGGTAACTTTTCTTTGCGAACGGTTAAAGTTGGTTTTGTCAATCTGTAACGATAAGTTAAAACAAAAAGTACATAAACTGATAGTTGGATTGTTGCCGCAACTTACTCTTGAACAAGTTGGACGTGGAGAAAGGAATGAGTTCAAAATAGGATTGTCTGAGACGGATTTTATTTATAGAAAACTGCAATATTAGCTAAGTTTATACATGAATATTGCTTGGGTGGTAAATTAATAAAGAAATAAAATAAAAATACTAAATTTACAATTTAAAGGTGTGGATTGTATTACAATATTTTGTCGATTTCATCAATCGGACATTCAGCAATTCTCGCTCAAGCTGTTGTTGGTATTATGTGGTCAGCATTTTGTGGTGTAGCTCATGACCTAGTATTTTTACTTATTTTTTTTATTTGTTTTTAATTTAATATTAAGTGCTATGACTTGACAGGTGCATCGAACCCTTAAATAGCGCGTACAGCTCAACAATTCTGAAAGAGAAGAGGAAAATTCTTTAATTTAGGATGTGCGTAGACTTGCGAAAGATCGACGTTAAGTCAATAGAGGATGCGTACGAGTTAATTTCATTTTAGAGCAACAGAAAGAGCAGCAAGATTTTTCCCGAGCCAGAGGATCGCCATGGATTCAGGAAAAGTCACCGCTGAACGATCAACTACGGAAAAGGCGAAATGGGAATGGACAACTAAGCACCAGGAGACGTTTGAGACACTGAAGCCGCGTCTAGCAGAGAATCCAGTGCTGGCGTGCCCAGATTGTGCAAAGAGATTCGTGCTGCAAACGAACGCCAGCGACTACGGCGTCGGTGAAGCCCTGCCGAAGAAAACCGAAAAGGGTAAGCGAACGATCGCCTACGCCAGTCGGACGTTGATAGGGGCAGAAAGGAATTACTAGGCTACTGAAGGCGAAGTGCCTTGCGCGTTTCATTCTTCCCTTTAAGGAAGGATGGTGCTAAAGGGCGTTTTTGTGTGTTTCCTAGGAGTAGTAGTCGGTGCAAGTGGGACTAGGGACTAATGGATCTTTATGTAGAAGGGTGCTGTGTCCCGTGTTGTTGGGATTCTACTGAACAGCAAAGACATCGAGAGCCGCCATCGATGGCGACGGAGCAGCAGAAGCGACAACAGCAACAGGATCGGCGAAAGACGACCAGCGAGCAACGCAATGACAGCTGAGAGCAACGCAGCGAGGAGAAGTAGCGCGTGAGTCCAAACAAAGCGAGCCACGACCCCAACCGGCCGCCAGGCACCGAAAGAGCAGATCCTCCCCGGCGTATACCTGGGCGGTGTGCTTATTGGCAAACAATGCGGAAAGGTGAGCGACGGGCGGACGAGCGCCGACGGCGAAGCCGAGCGGAAGCCCAGGAGGAGCAGCAAGGATCCGGGGCAGAGCCTGTCAAAAGCGGAAATTCATTTGTAAACAATGAGCTATTTGTATCATTTCTGGGCTCGAGCAATCACGTCGAGCTATAAATTCGGTGGAACAAGCCCACAAACTCTGTGAGCTAGCCGCGGGATCTATTGGGGAAAAAAAAGAAACAGAAACAGTTCGTTACACAATGTAAACATGTCGCAACCCTAATATCAAATAAACATAAACACTAAGAAAATGAAAATAAATTCTTACCAAGCCATATTTTAATCTATATTCTATATTTTCTACTTATATAGAATAATCTACTATCTATATTTTGTTTGGTTTGAAGTCAATGCTGAAAATAAAATTTGGAAATTGAATAATATTAATAGTATTGACATTTAATTACTTTAAAAGTAAAGAAAAAACATTAAAAAAAATAATGGATGAAAAGTTTGCGTGTGACAGTAAGAAAAATAGATTTAAAAAAACTGCAATTTAATTTTAAATGAGATTTAAACTCTATTCCAGAAAACTTGTTCATTAGGATTTTTTTTTAATCGCTGATTGGTATGGTTTTTGACAATAAAACGACTGCCTTGCTTGCATGTGACAGGCTCAACTTTGTTTGAATTCATTGAAAATAAAAAGATTCCTAAAATTAAAATATACACCAATCATAGTGCTACCAGAGCTACAAGATTCGTAGAAATAAAAAACAGTGTTAGCACGTATTTTTTTAGTTAAAATGCCTATGATTGTCGCATTCGATATTGTAGAATTACCCATATATCGTTTATGTGGCTTGAATTAAAGATGATTTTATCTACATTTTAATAACAATTTTAATATGTTATTTTTTTCAAGGGAAGAAGCAGGAGAAGAATCAAGAAAAGAACCTGGCCCTAGTACAATGGAATTCAAACGTGATATGGATGATGTACTTCGTCCCGGTATGGAAAACAAATACGTATATCAAAATATTGAGTCCGAATATTATCGAAAGTCGATGCAGCGATTAGCGTATGTAGAATTGTTTTTAAAAATTGCATTATAACTTGTTACTTATTATTAATATACTATTTTTATACCCTTCCAGAGGGTATTATAATTTTGGTCAAAAGTGTGCAACGCAGTGAAGGAGACATCTCCGACCCTATAAAGTATATATATTCTTGATCAGGATCAACACCTGAGTTGATATGAGCATGTCCGTCTGTCTGTCCGTCTGTCTGCTTCTACGCAAACTAGTTTTTCAGTTTTAAAGCTAGCGACTTTGAAACTTTGCACACACCCTTCTGCCCAAACCTGCAAAGGAATTGCACGCAGTATAATTGCACGGAATCCTATAGCTGCCATATAACTGATTAATCGGAAATGGTATAACTTCGGTGTTTTTAGAGTTAGAGGGCTTAAATTTAACATGAGAGCTATTTTTGGTATATAGTCGGCCGACTATATTCTATAGCTGCCATATAACTGAACGATCGGAAGTGACCCAACTTTTGTGTTTTTGAAGATGGTACTTAGTACAGATTCTATTTTTGGTCAATTGATCCAACCTACCAAATTTTATAAGGATTGGCCGACTATATCCTATAGCTGCCATATTAGTTATATGTCATATTAGTTATTACGATCGGAAATGGTATTTGGTAGAAATACCAACTTTCGTATTTTTGAAGATAGAAGCTTGGGATTTTTTTTTTAGATATTTTATTATATTTAATTGGTTTTATTATGATATTCTTATGAGAATCGGCCAACTTTATCTGATTTTTGCGATATATATTCGGTTTTAACTGCAAGGGTATACCAACTTCGGCTCTGCTTAGCTTTCCTTTCTTGTTTATCTTATTTTTAATGGTTGTTGATAGGTCAAGTAACGAAAAAGATATGAGGGACGGTTAGTATAATTATATTTTATGTTCTATTCCAGTTTAGTTTCCCAGCCTCAATCAATCTCATCATCTGTCTTAAATGCAGGAGAGGTCTTTTTCTTCACTGATGTCCCAGTTTCTCCAAGTACACATCGAACATCAACTATATAAGGTAAAGTGCTTGCCCACTACTCGGTAGGCCAATGCTCGACAAAGCGCCTCACATCGGCAGAAAACGTTTTTGTCACAGACCAGATGTAGGCATTCCAGAAATCTTCCCAAATAACAATATAGTTTTGGCGGTTAAATGCGTCTTGGTAGCTTAACTAATTCCATTGAAATACATCCAGTGTGGACATATTTAAAGGAAAACAACTTCCATTAATAAGGATTTTTACTTTCATGTTTTGTCTTTCTTGATAAATCAAAATTTTCATTCCAATCGGATTCAATTTTATTATGATTCTTTTTATGATTCTTCTGGCTTGTTTATGATTAGTTATTGTCTTTATCTACTAGCTAACACACTAGCTAACTTTAGATATTCTTCAGCCAACAGTCGTGTTTTTTGGGCGCAAGGCGTTCTTATATTAATTTGGTTGTAAACCGTTGTTTACCAACTTCATATTTAAGCTAAAGAAATTCAAAGAATTATTACATAAAACAGTATGAAATTACTGTTTAAATATTGAAATATTTTTATTAAAATTTTTATTAAAATATTTCAATCCAATACTCGGGTTTGCTTCTTCTTCTTTTTTGGGTTGCGACTCTCTTTTATAGTGCAATAAAGTTTCTTATCTCTATTTATACAGTTTTCTTTTCCTACTCCAATCGCTCTCTTCGAAGCACCCGCTTTCTCTCTTTTTAATTCTGTCGTTCAAAGTACATTTGTGGTTGATATATTTGTTACTTAATTTAAATTGGTCTGTCAATAAAATCTTGTAATCAGATAAACTTATTATTCTAGCCTACCGTCCACTGCTAGCTCAAGTGTGAACGGATTCCCACAGGTCTGATCTCCATTGTTATTGCGATACTTATTGTGTTGTCCAGGATGAAATGAGATCGTTCATGGCCGATCAATTGGCCGATATTTTCTCCGTGACATCACTTCCAGCAAACATATAATGAAGTAAATTTATAAGTTAACTATCTGACCCGGCAAACGTTGTTTTGCTACCAGATGACTTTATAATTTCTGTAAAAAATTAAGTCAGTTCTAGACTTATGTATTATAAAGTCATCTGGAGCTCGCTGACGATACGTCTGGCATAAAATAAATAAAGGTTATTATAATCACAACTTGCATTCACGAGATTGTCAAGTGCGCTTCCGGAATCCTCGCCGCCCATAAAAGAGATTTGTAAGAATTTATGCCCATTGAGCCCATTTTATGATAAACTTGGCCTCTGATTTTGAATGTAGAACTGTAATGTTGATCATTTTCATTAGTATTTCGAACTATTTCTGTTGCTCCGAACGATGTCATTTGAAAGCAGGAATTGAATGTTCGAATTGGCTTCAGGAACACGTTAGAATCTGGATCCGTGCCGACAAATAAGCCGTTCAATGGTTCAGGTGGTGGTTCAATTTCTGGTAGTGCAATTGCGCTAGTCTAACACGTACATCAGTATTTAGTTGCTGGATTTGTTCTACTATTCCCATTTTTCGAGATCTATTTATATCGCGGCTCAAATCCCCCCTTTGCGTTTTCTTGGCATTGCTCTCTGTACAAAACACTTATAAATAGAATTAATGTATTTACTAATGATGAAGGATTTTAGCCCCAGTTTAAATTGAGCTAAAATGCTATGGTAACGTGAGTTTGTCAGTGTGATGAGGTAGTAACTCACTTTATAAGCGATTTTTGGTATGTCGAACAGGATTTAAGAGTAGTAAAAATTGGAGGATTCTCAGGGCAATACGCTCACAAAATTTCATGAGAATCGGTATAGCCGTTTTTGATATAGCAAAACGCATTGTCTCGATTGCCTTTTTCGCCGTTCTCTCCGCTTCCTCCCTGTGCTTGGCCACTATCACCAACGCTACGTCGTCTACGCCGCTGGGAGCTGCAGCCTCAGGATTCCGTCATACATGGCGTTCCACAGCAGCAGTCCTAGGACCGATCCTTGGGGCACACCCGCCGTAACGTCGTAGGACTCCGTGCCCATGTCCGTGTCGACCAGTAGCACTCGGCAGCTAAAGTAGCTACTGACGACGTTCATTATGGCACTGGGAACGTTGAACCACCTTAGGGCTGCCAGTGTTTTGCTCCAGTCCGCCGTGTTGAAGGCGTTCCTGATGTCCAGGGTGACTATCAGGCAGTATTGCTTGGAGCCACCTTTCCACCTGGTTCCCGCTATTGCGTTGCGAGCAATGCCGACCACCTCTGCTATGGCATCCACCGTAGACCTTCCCTTCCGGAACCCATACTGCTTGGGAGACTGCCCTCCCGCCTCCTCTATGGCAGCTTCGAGCCTCGTCGCGATCACCCTCTCGAAGACCTTGCCCGTTGTGTCCAGCAGGCAGATTGGCCTATAGGACGACGCCTCCTCCCTTGGTTTCCCTGGTTTGAGGAGCAGCAGGAGCTTCTGTACCTTCCACCTGGTGGGAAAAATGCCTTCGCGGATACATTTATTGTAGAGCTCCGCAAAGCTGCCCGGCTGCAGAGCTAGAGCCAGCTTCAGGGCTCGGTTAGGAACCGAGTCCGGGCCGGGTGCTTTGTTCGGGGCCAGGCCTCTCCCTATGGCCAGAATTTCCTCTTCCGTTACCTCCTCAGCCGCTTCATTGTCTGCTGGGGGGGTGGGAAAATGGGGGAACTTGGTTGCCGGCTTGGAAAAGTGCTTGCACTATGGTCCTTAGCACGTTCGGGTCCGTGGGGGACTGGCTTCCTGCGCGCAGCCTCTTCACCACTATCCGGTACGCGTTGCCCCATGGATTTTCCTCCGCCGAGTCGCATAGCTCCAGGAAGCATTTCCTTTTGCTGTCTCGGATGGCCACCTTCAATGCTTTGCGTCGGTCCTTGAAGGCTAGGTGCCGCTCCTCAAAGGCGTCGCTGCCTCTCGCGCGCTGCATGAGCCTCCTTGCTCTCATGCACTCAGCTCGGATGGAGCCAATCTCGTCGCTCCACCAGTAAACGGGAGCGTGGTTCCTACGGTAGCGGCTTCTCCCCTGCATGCTCGCCATGCACGCTGCCTCCAGCTTAGCAGCCAGGGTATCAGCCATTTCGTTGGCTCCGTTTGGTAAGACGTTGCCGATGTCGCGCGCTGCCTCGGTGAAGTTCCTCGCCTGGAGCGTACCGACTCTGTAGCCTCGTGGTTTCGGATCCCTCGGTCGTTCTTGAGGGTTAACAATTGAGCACAATATTGCTTCGTGGTCACTGGCCGTAAAGCTGCCGCCATCTCGTTCGATTTCCATGCCCAGGAAATGGTTAGTTGACCCTTGTCAACACACTCGAATGATTGTGAGATGCTGCTCTTGATTTTCAGCAAATCCTCGTGCGATTGGCAAGCTATAATTATATCGTCAACATATACAAGGATTAGTACAAGATTACCTTTTCCACAATGTTTGTACAAACATGGTTCGTTATCACAAGCAACGAATCCCATATTAACCAATACGCCAATAAGCTTCTCGTTCCATGCCCTTCCTGATTGTTTGAAGCCATATATTGCTCTCTTCGGAAGCAATACCTTGTCAGGATTTGATTCATCTGAGTACCCTTCCGGCTGCTTCATGTAGACCGTCTCACTCAGATCGCTGTTCAGATACGTGGTGCATACATCCATTTGATGAAGATGAAAGCGAACACTCTCCAATCGGCATACTGGCGAAAATGTTTCTAGGTAATTTACGCCAAACTGCTGGGAGCATCCTTTTGCTACCAGTCGAGCCTTGAAACGTTCTATTTGGCCATCTTTATCACGCTTCACGTTGAACACCCACTTGCATCCAATGGCTCGCTGATTTTTGGGTAAATCAGTGACTTGCCAAGTCTGGTTGGCAACCAGAGAATCATATTCTCGTTCCATGGCTTCACGCCGCTACTTTGCATTTGCACTCTCCAGCGCCTTTTTGAAAGTTAACGGCGCCTAGGATATTGTACTGCTTCTTTGGACGTCCAGGTTTTCCAATCCG